ATTTCATAGATCTCCAATCCAAAGTCATTATTTTGCCTAGAATTTCTATTCCTGTCAATTTGACAGACCAGCTGGAAAACACCTTCAGTCAGAGTAGTTCTGTACTTATCTACTTTACAAACTGAGCATCCAACTAAGATTTAATTTTTATAAAAAGGCCATTACAGGATTTTTTTCAAGAGTTGGAAACAAAAGGGCTAGATAATTAATGAAACCATTTTGTTCTACGAAATAGCGTACCTTCACACAGCACATTTTGGCTAACATAAACAATAACAATCAAATGTATACATAAAAAAGAAAAAGCAATCTATCCATATGTGTGGGAGGATTTAAAACCAAGTATTACATAAGCAACCAACAAAACTATGTAGATTCACATGTCACTTTCATCATGACCTGCCTTCAAATGTCAACTAGAGAAAGCTTCCAAAATCTCTCCTTAGATCACAGAGAAGGAAAGAATGCTATATTCAGGTAACTAGCAAATTATATCAATTCAGAATCTAAATTTTACAAAATTATTGATATAATCTCATTCTCAGTAAAATTATGAATTCCTATAATGGCATACTTAAAAGGGAAAACATATCACCACTATCTAAAAGTAGTTTATTATAATCCACTGGACAGACCATTCTCTACTGAATTAGGTTTAATTAACCATTAGCATATTTCTTTAAAGAGGACATACTATTTGCTCAACCTTGCCCAGTGTTCTTAGGTTTATTTTCTTTTTTACTCAAGTTCCAAGGACTGCTTTTAACTAAACTGCCTGACATTCCCAATAGGTGCAGAGCTGATTAAGATAAAATTATCCCGATAGTTGGATGCTGATGCACTAGAGAAAATGCCAGCAAAGGTGAAGACATACTGCTAAGCTAGCTCTTTAACCACGCCTCGACCACTTTACTGACCCGAAAATTCACATTAAGGAATTTCTAAACATATAAATTCATTTAATCTTCCCAACAAATGTGTAAAGGGAGTATAATTTTAATCTCTCATTATACAGATAAGAAACAGAAAGACAGAAATATTCCATAACTTATCTAAGCTAACACAGCTATTAAGTGCCAGAGCAGGGACTTGTACTCAGTCCAGCTCAAGTACCAGTGTTTTGCAAACCTTAAAATACATACAATCCATCTGGAAATCTAGTTGAAATTCAGATCCTGATTCAGTACTTCTGCAGGGGGGGTAGGCAAGATTCTACATTTCTAAAAGATTCTACAGTTCTAAAATCTCACCTGTGATGCAGATGATGCTACTGGTCTGAAGACCACCCCAGAGGAGCAAAGTTCTATCTTCCCCAGAACTGGCACAAGGCTATGGTAATCCGCAAAAGGAGGCAGAGCTCATCCACAGACAGTTGGCTTATAAGTAAATCAGGGCTTCCCAACTACTGGTTTAGCACTTAATTGCTTTTGTTCATTTTTCAGAAAGACTAATGAGCAAAATTTGCAAGCATCATAGCACCCACTTTCAGGTTTTGCATGTTAATACAGTAACTTGATACTGTAACACCTCCCTCTCAATAAGGCCTTTCTGACATCCAAAAACTATTACAAATGTCTCTGAATGTCTACTTTAATATAGGTTCAATCTGAACATATTAAAGGATATTTTTAGAGCATATTTTTGTACTGTCTCAGATATGAGAAGAATTAAAGAGATTGAGTTAAAAATCCAGCACCTTTCTAAATTTCCACCACCTGTCAAGTCCTGAGAGGACACCCTCTGGGGAACAGATGGAACATAAACGTCTTGCAGCACATCACTCAATTCTACTTAATAACTTTCTCTAAAAACAGATAAGGAAATGCACATAATACAATCTCCCTTCATTCTCACTGGTGCATCAACTCTTCACACTCTAATCTAGAATAAAGAATATAAATTGAAGCCACTAAGTGTTATGTCTGTAAATGCTTTGGCCTAAAGCATTCCAACACCTAAAAACTGAAATGCCATCAAATCACTTGAAATAACATTTTTTCACACGTTTATACTATCAGGAAAAAAAATATCAATACTATCCAAATATATTCAGACATGTTTAAAGCCACACACTTAACTCAATATTAAGTCTATCCTATGATCACCCTGGGTGTATACATATTTGACACAGCTATATAAATAACTAAAAAATATTTTACTAATTAAACATAGGAAAAGATTTAAGAAAATATCTGAAGTCTCAGTAATTTTGATTTTGTTGAGTTTTCTTGTATTTCATTCAAGTTCTTTTCTCAATGTACACAGACATACTTTACCTTCTTCTCTGAAAAATTAAATGTATCACATACTTTGACAAGCATGTAAAAATCATATTCAAAACCATAATGTAATTCTGATTAATTAACTACACGTGAAAGTCAAAATAATTAGGTTTCACAGATTTCAGACAATATGAATTCACATATTTTCTAGAATTTATTAATAGAGTCCCACCATTAATTATAACAAATTAAAAAATTTAAACTGTACAATCACCATAAAGCAAAATTCTCACCTGTGAATTACAAGAACACCACAAAAATGTACTTGACACAAAGGTAAAAATACAAATTTTAAATTAGCTGTCAAAAATCCTAAAAATGTCTCCACTAAACCTTACTATTCCAAACTCCTGCTCAAGAACAAGACCTAGAAGTTCTTCCACCCAAAAGAATCTAAGACTTAACAGAAAAACACATAAAAATATGCGAATATTTCACTTGTCCAGCATATGAAAGAAGACGGTCCCCAAACTAATAAAAACAAAAACAACTTCTCCGGTCTCCTACTAAGACTGCTATTTTCTCGAGTTTTTTCCTCCTCTATTAATCACTCACACAGTCACAAAAGAACTCGCACATTAAAGAAGCAGAGAACTGAAAGGCGCCCTTTGCAGCAGTTGACAGTGATCACAAGCTGTGAGGAGGGAAAGCACAGATGATGTATGTGGGCCAAGTTACTGCTCACAAGTAAGCCCAGAGTTCACCATTTCACTAGTCTGGTCACTACATGGGAAGCATTATTTCATGGACGGAAAGGAAACCTGGTATATAAAGAGAAAAATAAAAGCAAACTAAACTAAATTTTCCATCTCTAAGACAGACTATACTTCCTCTACAATAATCGTCAGTGACCTTGTGGAAACATTCCTGGGTTAAATGGGCAGAGCACATTTCTTCAGCAACTGCAACACTACTGCTCTCAGGGCATCCAGCACGTGTCTACTGGGCTTAGTAGATTCGCACACAAACACTATTTAATTGTTTGTGCCATTTGTACAAAATCAACAAAAATCTTTAAAAAAATGTTTGCCCTTATATGCAATTTTAAAACAATAAAGATTTTTTAAACCGATAAATCTTTACATCTTCTATAATGAGAAATACCAGAATACACTCTCCACCTTAAGTAATTCTTCCAGAGAGCAAATTTAACCTGACCTCCCTAAATGGCTACAGATTTGACACACCATTTAGAAGCCTGAAAGGAAATACTGACTTATTTATTCTCTAAAGCAGTGCTGTTCAACAGAAATACAACATGAGCCACATATGTAATTTTAAATTGTCTAGTAACCATATTAAAACAGGAAAAAAGAAATTAATTTTAAAACATTTTACATACCAAAATAACCAAAACCCAACATATCAAAATATTAGTATTTCAACATGCAATAAATATTTTTTGAAAATCAGTAAAATATTTTGCATTCTTCATATTGTTTTCAAAATCTGATGTGTATTTTACACTTACAGAACATCTCATTTTGGACTACAACCAAAGTGGTCAATAGCCACAAGTGGTTAGTGGCTACATTACTGGATAGCGCAGCTATCTCCTAAGCACTACTTTGATATCTGACATACTACTATCTGTTTAAAATTAGCTTACATTCATGTTTCCATTTTGAATTGAAATGTCTGATTACAAATATTAAAAAAAGCAAATAAACATCAGACCACCTTATCAGAGGACCCAGTTAACATACATAATAAGAAGCGGTTGGATTATATCCTATCTCAAGTAGATTTCAGAAATAGGTCTGATCACCACTAGTGAACACAACTTGTAGAAAAATATGGGTAAGACAAGAAACACTTTCACATCAAACCATAACACTGCCTTATTTCTAGTAGCCTCTCTGGTGTCTGAGTACATATCTCCATACAAATTATCTACATGACAGTTTTTCTAAGTTTGATGAATTTTGGAAGTCATACAGTCACAGATGAAAAACTGAGCGCTAAGAGGAATTTAAATAATTGAAATATTATTTAATTACAAACCAGTTACTTTAACGCACCTTATACCAACCAACAATCTTAAATCATCCTACATGAGTTTCACTGAAATGACTTCTTCCCCCAAATTCCAACGCATTCACTGTTTTTTATACTCATATTTCTAGTACCAAAAATACTAAGAATTTTCCCAAGTAATTAAACCATTTGATTAAAATGTAAATAATTCCAACAATGCCTTCTCTAGAAAACAGCTAAAACCATTAGCTTAGCACATAAACTCTGTCCTAAAGGCAAGTTACTGAATAAATCAAACAGAAACAACTATACTCCTGTTTAGTGCATTTACATTTTTGTAACACCACATTCAGCAATTTCTAAATTTGGAAGGTCAGTTCAGATTGCACACAAGTAGTAACTTTAAAGCTTAGCAAAATCTTAGAAGTTTCTGCAATATACTTCTGAATAAACACACTACAGAACTATTACAACAGTGTAAAAATCAGCACCATTCATACTAATCCCAGCAAGAAACAAAAATCAATATATTCATAAGTTCAAAATGTATGATACATTCTAAAAAGGTTTTTTCCTCCCAATTTAATTAATTCACCCAAGACAATTTTTGTTCAATCCACTTGCAAAGCTGAAAAGAAGCAAATGTAGCCTCTTCTGCAGCACAAACATCCAACAACGATACATGAATCTCTGGATATGTTTCCACAATTTGAAATTAAAACAACAAAATTTGTTTCTTACCTGCAGTTAGGAGGAGGATCAAGGGTTATTTCAGCTAGCTCCTTCTGAATTCTGTTAGTGAAATGAGAACAGACAAAAAGGATTTGAGAGTCTACAGAATAACCGGGGAATTACACTGCCCTCTACCACCATGCAGTTAAATGCAAGGCTGGCTTCGCCTTCAGTAATGCTAACATGGCTGCTTCCTCTTTGTTCTCAGAGGCATAACCCAAATCCCTTAACAGAAACTTTGCAGCTTTTTTTCTCACTTGCTACTGTAAATAAGTAAGACATTCACACCTGATTTGAGAACTAGCCCTCCACTTGTACTCAGAAAAGGATGTAAAATATATTTTAAAGCACTTTTTACCAAAGAAATTCTCTTTTCAAGCTTATATGCAAATGAGACAAGAAGGGAGGAGGGAAAGCACTAGAATATTTGACAATGACTCCAAGACACTTTACCAAGGTAAAAATTAACAAGCTACTGCAAGTGCACATTAATAATTTTGACAATATTTTATGTCAGAAAAAAGTTTAAAATTTACAAATATTTCTACCAGTGAAAAACTTTCAAAGAATTCTGGCATTCTTATTTAAGTAAATCTATTTTCCCTGACCTTAAGTACAGCACTTAAATTTAATAAATTTGGGAGAAAAGATAGACAGCCTTGAGGTAAGAGGAAAAAGAGCAGTTCTTATTTTATTCAAATTTACAATGCTTTCAAAACTTAAGATATGCTTAATATGTTCATCAACAAGATTGTAAGAAACTGAGAAGGATTTTAAATTATCTCATGGACTGCTGTTATTTCATAAAATACTCTAGTTATTAACACTTGATTATTGATACAATAGAGGTGAAAATCCACAGACTATCACTACAGAACACCAACATTTGATCAGCTTTTATATTTTTTTTTTGGTTGAGATCAACAAAAATCAATACAACGTTGATATCGGCTAATGCTATAGGAACACCTGATGTGTAATTACTAAAATTCACAGATATGCCACTTACTACCATTGATTGGAGCCCCACTGACAGCATCTTTTTTTCACTATCACAGAAATATAAATCAACAGAAAACAAATGATCTTTCACTTATATCCAACAAAATATGCTTCTCCTGCTGTTGAGTATTAACATGTCAAGCATATCCACAAATTTTAGAGTGAAGAGGCATAATGGCAAACTTCTCAATCACCAAGTGCCACCTCACATGTAAACGGCTACTTTTCAGTTTTACCTACTCTCACAACGACACGGAGGTATGACCATAGCTTAATTAGAAGAAGTAAAACCTGAAATGAATGACTTAAAGTCATGCTTTTGAAAACTGAAAACAGACTTGAAGTACAATTTTAAAATCTGCCTTCAAATACAGCCAAGGCCTTGAGTTTACAAATTTTCTAGCAAACATGACCACTTCTGATCATGAAGAGAGGCACTGATCTCTAGAAGTGTCACCTTCAATGACGATGAATATAACTCATAAAAAGACAACAAACATCCTCAAATGTACCAGCTCATCTGGGATCACCAAATTTTCCTTGCCAACTCCTTAAACTGTCAGATGTTACTCCAATCTCTACTCAAGGACACTCTCTCTGAAGTTACCAAAGCCCAGAACAAGTTTGCTTAAAAGTCTAATTCTAGGGAGGTGGCTTCTATACCACCTAAAGAGAATGACAACTCATTCAAGTCCAAACAAAACTGATAGCAAAGGAAATATTTTTGAACTATGGCTACTGATGTTAAATCAACAGAAGCATCCATCTGGAAGACAACCTGACAACGTGCTTAATCCTTTTTTTTTACACATTACCTTTTAGCACTAGTGGATAATTTAGCAGTGGTTTTGCTAGAGAGTTTGGTGTTTTTCTTCTGCTGGGTGGCAGAAGGTTTTCTTTCTTCTTGTTCTTCAGGCTCTGGAGCGGCTGGGTCTCTCTGGTCTGCATCTGAACTACCACTGCTGGTGCTGGGGCTCTCATCATCGGACCTCTGCCGATCACTGGACATCTTGGTGAAGTTATTTCTTGGAAAACTTTTAAAGAAAAAACGGGGAAAGAAAGGAAATGTAAGTCTAAGAAATAAACCAATAGCATTTTCTTCTCTCCATCGTCACCTAAAATCGTGTTTTAATGAAAACGCTTCAGAAGTGTTCACACTTATCTCATGGTACAGCAAGGTTATAGGGGAGGTGATGTGTCTCACAACGGCAGCGTTCAGGGATTTACCGAACTCAAGTTAGAAAACCCACTCACATTTTTTTCCATCCCTTGGACAATCTATCAATTGTCTACTTTCTCAGAAGGCATTAAACAGATTTGCCAGGGAACTTAGGGAACGAGCATTAATAACATATGACACGCTGTAAATAACAGATCTCGCAGAAAAATGTTAAAAAGTCACTAATAACGTCTAAATATTTACACACCGACATTGGTCAAAGCTACCAAATTCCTTTTCCGAGAGGAAAACATACCCTGCTAATCGCCCATATGCTTATTTAAGGTGGTGATTCCTCCTCTGTGCACGTAAGCCTTTAAATACAACACTTAGGAATTTAAAAAATCAACTAACAAGCTGTTCTGGCCACGGCCAGCAGCGAAGATTCATCCGGCCAAGACCAAGCTGCCACCCTGGGAAAAGCAGAATTCAAACTGCACCTTCTGCAAAGCTCCCCATGCCATCAAGGTTCCTCGCTCAATTTTTACATCACGGACCGACATTTTGTCCAAAATAACCAAAAAAAAAAAATTTTTTTTCCCCCCGGAGGAAAAACAAACAAACAAAGCCTCAAGAAGTGCAACAAATTTCCGCGCCCGCCGAGGCGAGCCGCGGCCGGCGGCGGCCACGCAGCTCGGCGGCCCTTTGTGGGGAGGGCCGCGCGGGGGCCGCGGGCAGCGCTCGCCGCGCCGGGCGCCAAGTGATGTGAGCAGCCCGGCCGGCCCCGCGGCGGCTCGCGGACACCGGCGGCGCGGGCGCCCGGCGCGAACAAAGCTGCCCGCCCCCGCCCCCTCCCCCACCGCCGCCGCCCCGGCCGCCCCCCACGCGGCCCCCCGGCCCCGCCGCCTTACCTCGGCCGCCCGCCCGGCCCGCTCGCGCGCCGCTACGGTGTGGGGGAGGGAGAGAGAAAAAAACCCTTCCTTAAGGAAATGGAGGCAGCTGGGGGGGGGGAAAGGGGGGGGAGGGAAAAAAAGAAGCCGAGGAGGCTCTGGCCGGGGAGTGTGGAACATTGAAAGTCGGAGGGGGTTGTGCAGTGCCGGGCTCCGGCCGGAGGGTGGCGCCGCCCAGCGCCTTCGGAAAAAAGCGGGGGGGTGGGAGCCCGGCTGGGCGAGGGAGCGAGCTCCCGGCGAGGCTGAGGGGACGCGGGAGACCCCCGCGCGCTGTGGCCTCCCGCCGCCGCCGCCCGGCTCGGCTCCTCCCGGCCGCGCAGTCAGCAAGTTCCGAGGCGAGCGCGGGGGGAGGGGCGGGCGCGGCGACGGCGCGCGCTCTCGCTCGCTGCTTGCCTGGCGGAGGGGCGCGCGCCGCCGGCGGCCGACGGGCGCGAGCTCTTCCCGCGCGCTCCCGCGCGGTCTCTCCGCGCCTCCCTTCACCCGGGGGGCGCACGCGTCCGCCCGCGCGCGGCCCGGACAAAGAGCGCGGCGGGGACCCGGCGGACTGGCCCCTGCCGCCCTTGGCCGCGGAGCCCTTGCCGGAGAAGGCGGGGGCGCGGGCGCCGTCTCGCGGGGCCGCTGTGCCGCGGGGTGGCTTCCGGCCTGAGCCCGCCTCCGGAGCGAGGCTGCCCATTGGACTACCCGCCCCACAGGCCGGAGCTGGGGTCATGCCCGGGCTGGCCCACTCCCCTCTGCCGACGCACGGGACAACGTAGTCCACGGGGTCCCCATGCCTGGGCAAGGGCCTGGGTCGCGTGGCCGGTAGTCCCCCACTGCCCTGGAAGACTGGAGACTAATGGGTGTCGTTGACGAGGCCAGGTACGGAGGCAGAGGATAGCTGCCACCTGCCCCTCCTGAGAGCTCGGGGGGCAAGATGAAGTCTTGGACACTGAGGGAAGAAAAAAGGATTTCGAGACCAGGTGGCCAGCCTCTGTTTCTCTTTGGCCCTCGGCCTTCCAAAGAGAGGTCCTATGATGCTTTCAAAACTTAAAAATTCAAAACGATTACAGTGAAGGGGGACGTGAGACAGGTTCATACTTGACACTTTGCTGGATGCTCTTCTGATGTGCAGACTAGATAGCAGTTCTGGAGAGCGACATCCCTAAGTGGTACTGGGTCAGAATGTCCACACAGAAAAGCTGCAGATGGGGGATAGTGAAGGTTAGTTTTGTTCTGCTATTCTCAGTCTCCAGGTGGACTCCAGTTTTTGCCCCAGGGAGCAAAGTGGCCAGACGTCCAGAAACTTCCTGTTTGCAGCTCAGACCTTCTCCAGCTCCTGAGAACTTGCTCCAGTGATGGAGCCCCAAAGGAATTTGTGGATTCCTCTCCCACAAGTGTCAGGGGCAGGGGTGCTGGGAGAATGTGGAGTTCACAGAGAATGGCAGAGTCATAACAGATGAAATAGAATTAAAGGAAAAAAAGAAAAGAAGGCTGAGTGAGCCAATATACTTATTTGTCCTCCAAATAGAAAAGTTTTGGTAAAGGATTGCTTACAATTCTAATGAGTAAGTTACATTTCTGTGATTTTTCCTAAGACACAATGATTCAGTGAACATTTTGGAGGTCTATGCCCCAGGTGCTGGACGCAAAATTCACTCCTTCAACTACCTCGTAACTAAAACCACATCTCTCTACTCTGTGTTAGAAGCCACCAATCTAGAAGGGGAACAGGTATTAAAGTGCACCAGGTTGATTAGAAGGAAGGACACCAGTCAGAGCGAATATGAAGTCTCAAATGTTGAAGACAGAGCATAGTGTGTGTGTTGACAAGCAGTTTGATTGGGCTGTATCAAAGTGTACTTGTGGAAAGAGCTTGTTAGTGAAAATACCGGCAGAAGGTTCTCCCAACTTTTACCCTGTGCTAGCAAAAGCCAACCAATTTGGAGTTTGGATTTTTCTCTGTTAGGAATGTGAAGTTGTGAAAGGAAAGCTATATATTAAAAAAAAAAAAAAAACTGATTGTTTTAGGAAATCTAATATCACAGAAGTAGATTGAAGGCCCAAAGGCCATGGACTGATGAGGTTTGGGTGGAGCTGGGAGATTGGGAGATAAAGATATTTAGTGATGTTTTGGTAGCATTTTCCATGATAGAAGAAACAATAATGAACTGAAAAGGAAGGCAGCTAGATTCTAATTGAATTTTACCAGATTCACGTGACCTCAGGCAAGTTACACTTTCCAGTTTAATCTTTCTCCTATGTAGAAGTGTAAATCCTCTCTTGGCTCAAAAATCTCATGATTCTTCAATGTGTTTGAAGTCATGGAGTTCCATACGATATTCACACAACATAATACTTAGGAACTACCGAATGCTAAGAAATTCGAGTGAAATACAGGTGCTGCCCTTACTGAGCTCAATGTATAGTGGGACAGCCAGAGATGTAGACTACAGAATGAGAAGTGCTGCGTTAAAGGAGTGAAAAGAATGAGTGATGTATTAATAATTATCAATTAAAAATTAGTCATGGAATAAATTATTACTTAAACTTGAGGTTATGTATGTGTCAAAAAAAGTAACAACGAACGGGGCCTGAAAGGATCATTAAGTAATAATATAACCAGTGCTCTGGGAAAATTATCTAGGACATAATAAGTGTTCAATAAACAGCACTCAGGAAATGGCAACCCACTGCAGTATTCTTGCTTGGAGAATCCCATGGACAGAGGAGCCTGGCGGGCTACAGTCCCTGGGGTCGCAAAGAGTCAGGCAGCAACTGAGCATGTGAAGCAACTGAGCATGCATGCATGCACAAAATTGTTGAAGTCACTAGAAAGAAAATGAATGGTTCTGTCGAGGTTAGGGACATTAGGGGCATGCCCCCACAATAGTAGGTAACCAGCTGCTTTTACCCTTGAAAATAGGAACCATGTCTTATATGCATTCGTGTTGGCATACAGAGTTTGCCTAATGCAAATTATTCTGTAAAGTATGCAATAAAAATTTTCCCGTATGACCCCTCAAAATAGTATGGCAGAGTACACTTCAGCTACTGCAAGAAGATCGTTCCCTTTTGGTTTCCTCTTTTTCTTTTCTTGGTATGAGGTCCTGGTAGCTTCTAGCTCACAGCTCTGAGAAAGTCAGAAGTAAGAGGAAAGATACAAAATTTAGTATTGCCATGGAGACCTCTTCCTCTCTTCCTCTCACAAATGCCATGACCTAAAGAAACTGGTCATTACAAGGAGAGACAAGGCAGGTTCCAGAATCCTTTAGACTTCCCTGATTTGGGAATTACTTTTTCCCATGCTTTTCAATAGGTCTCAGTGTTATACATGTACATAAGTGTGCATATAACCAAGAATTCTATAGGAATACACATTTGATTTGCTTAAGTTTCTGAAGTGAGTAATTATATAAACTATAGAGGGGCCACAGATCTTTTTAAATCACCCACCACGGCCAACAACATACCTTATACACAATGGATGTACAATACTTGTTACTTTGCTTTGTTGCTTTCATTTCTTTCCTTCCACACAACAACCTTTCTCAACATCCATTCCTTTTACCCTTCTTTTTTTTAGGCTATTTCAGATGTTATCCAGTTATGTGCATCCATTTGTCCTCTGGCTATAAAATTATCTTTCTCTATCCATTGAAACAAAAACAGATTTTGGTTTGTTAGGAAGTCATTTGTTGGCCCAGGCTTAGTTTAAGAAGCCAAGATTGCCATTGGTTTCTCGGTGTCTCTGGACCTCCAGAGTCCAGTGCCCCGACTGACGTCTACTGTGCTTTCGTGGTGTCGTGTGTACAAAACCTGCCACGTGCCAGGCCCTGGGCTGGAACTGGGAATGGGAAGATGGCTTAAACCTCTATTTGACTTCAGGGCTCAAAGCTCAGTGATCACTTTCTGCTTTTCTCC